CATATCAATAACAAACAAATGAAAAAGCCACATGTCTGGTAGGACTCAGTTTTACTACAAAAATACGTGAGCTTTTATACATTTAAAGAAAGGTTTTGTCGCATAACAAAGCCTAGTCATAGAAGAACGCATTTCGGCCGTTAAAACCTACACAAGACTGCCGTTAAAATGTAAATAAATCATGGGAACAGGAGCAGGTCACCACAAAGACCGAGATCTAAGTCACAGAACAGGTTACCAATGTCGGGCAATTTGGGCAGTTGTGCTGATAGCACTAGAGTTTGATGTCATTTCGACCAGCTTCAGCTAACCGCCGGCATAAAAAGAATCCCAAAATATGGAAAAAGATAACACACCTAAAAGTCGTGACGACCGAGATGAGGAGGACCTAAATATTCGCTTATTATGTGTTAGAGATAGAAATTCAGGTTTGAATATTTTGGTGAACATGTGGGCTGCACCTAGTGTCATTCCTCAGAATAAAACAGAGCTGTGTCAAAAAACTATTACAATAACACTACAAGCTTCCGAAAAGACTAAAATTGCGAAATTTGGCAGAAAACGTTGACACAAGACTTAGAGTCTGAAAGGTGATTCTCCTAGGTGTTAACCGCAGTTGACTTGTATATAGCATCGCTGGGAATGGACGTTTTAGGGAGACATAAACTTCTGGGCGATAATAGTAAACGACGTTTGACACTTACAGAAACTTCGAACTAAACAAACGGTGAAGGACGTAATACCACTTCTCAGAATTTGTTATCAATTTCGCTAGTAACCAATGCCAAGTTCCAAGATATACTCGAGGAACCTAGAAACCTAAATGAATCTAATCCTCATCCTTCCAACGGTAAGCTAAAGGTAATTACAAGATGAAAACTGGGGATCAACCAGTCTTACTAAACCCAGGGGACTAGCACTAGATGAGCTTAAGGTCGCTAGGGTGGAATTGGACTACATGCTACAGCAGCCAATTGTCCTTCCCCTCGATAGCATATTGGCATCTCCTCTACACATGGCCTCAAAGAAGAATCAAGGCAACTGGTCACCGCGTAGACTTTAATGATACTTTAGCCGTCGAATCGTACCAGAATGGTACCAAACCCTTATATCCGAGATTCTAAAAACGGCTCAAAAGTATCACAATATCCCGGCATCTGTGGAAGATATCCCTCAGACAGCTTTTACTACACGTTTTGGACTGTTTGAGTCTTTACGCATGCCAACTGGCCTGAGGACGTCAGCACAAATATTTCTAAGGTTTATGGACAACCTACTCCGGATAAGACCTGGGCAGATAATTCGTTAATTGCGAGTTCGGATTTACAATCTTATGAACAACACATGAGAGTAATGTTAAAATGGCTAGATGAAAATGAGACGAACATACGTCAAGTAGGTTTTCTGGTGTTCAAACTATGGGATTTGACAAACACACAATAAACTCACAAGAGACTACATCAGTCAAAGAAGAAGCAGGTAACATCAGGCAACACCCTATACCAAGTTCTTCAGTACTCCTTGGACATTTGTTAGCTTTAGTTAGCGTTTATTGTAGATTCACGCACATCTGCACATAATCAGTAAAGCCTTTGATAGATTCTCTTAACGGAAAACCGAATGATTTTAAGCTGGCTTCTGAGGATTCTGAGGTTACTAAACGGCCAAAAGATAGACTAGCCCAAGAGTCTTTCGTGCCGGTAGGTAACCCTCGTGCTATTGATAGAAGAAACCAGACTAGTAGTAAATAGGTCTTTATTTAGATCTTCGCGCAGTCACAGTGGAGCGTGGGATTACCCGTTCAGACAAACAAAGCCTCTGAACATTCAGTCTAATATAATCGGAAATATGACGCCCATACAAAATAGCAAAATGAATGAATATTTGAGCTCTACCGTTTTGACATATGCTTAGTTGTTTGAGGTCAACTCTCAACCAATCAACCTAAGCTGTTACAAGTCTACATTAACTCACCCAAATTACCATGTTTCAATCGCTTCGATGGAGTGGGCGCCATCCTTAACCGACCGGCTGAAAACCTTTGGCAGCCGACTGAATTCTACTCAAAGAGACCCGTTCTAGCTTAGGTGGAATATTATACTTAACGATGGAAAGTTCTGTGATCTCCTAGCCATTCATCATTTCACGCAAATGTTAGAGTGAAACGAATTCATGTTTATACGGATGATAAACCACCAATCAATGTTGTAAAACATACAGTCGGTAAATATTCTCCTCGAGAGATCAGAAATCTTGATCATAAATCGCAGTTCACGGGTGATATATGACATGCCAAAGGTTGGGATGGTCACGTCGGGCCCACCAAATTCGTGCTGGTAGATAGCCCTCGTCTTATCTATACGAGAAGACAGACGTGTGGTTGAACAGGTCTTTATTGAGAACGTGAGGCAGAACAGTTGGGGCACGTGGTTCTCTCTTTCCAACACACAAGGTTTTCAACATTCAATGTAGAATAATAGGAAACATAATGCCTACACAAAATAAGTAAGGGAATGAATACCCGGGCCATAATATTTCGATATTACCTAGATGTTTCGGCCAACTGTCAATCAGTTGACCTAGGACGTAACACAGGCAGATAAAGATGATCTAAGTGGGGTTTGGTTCATACTATTTTGTTTATGCTTTGCGCTCCGCGAACCATGCACTTCTGTCCACATTATCGCCAACCTCCGTTTTTGACAGGATGTCTTCTGACCATACCCAACAATGTGTTGCAGTTATTAGCCGCTTGAAGTTTGAGATCTTTTCTGCTTTTCTTGAAGAGTATCAGTCCAAACCAGTTCCAAATACTTCGTTTCTGAGTCTTAACGCTTACTCATAAGTAGTCTGTTAATCAGTAGTAGAAAAGTCAGGCGCATTTATCGAGATCATGTTGTGACGATTTCTGATTCCGTTTATTTAAATAATAATAGCGCTTGAGATTAATCCCTAATAATTGTGCCGAACGACATTTATGTTGCATGCTTCAAAGACATTTGGAGTGATTCTCTGGCAGATATATATAGCTTGTGCTTCAAATGGCTGCATTGTTTATATTATCCTTATTGTTTGGAGAAGCTCACAATTGACACACGTCAAATCCGGTGTCCTAATTACATTTCGTCAGTTTCGGGAATTTTGAGAATGAAGATTACAGTAGGAATGAGAATTACGTCTTGGAATTCCCTCTCAAACAAACGGAATACTTAGGACCGGTGTTGTTATCTACTTTAAGTCATGAAGTGGGTTAACAGTGATGTGTAGTCGTATCAAAGATAGTTATACATATACTGTACTACAATGAAGTTCAAATAAAAGCGTTCAGGAAAAGAGATCATACTTCCCGATGATTAGATGGAAACACATTTTAATACAATTCTAGGGGTTGTGGAAACTAACAGGAACGTTGCCTCATCAGTCTATAATCAAGCGTTTGATCTCTCAGTATCTCTCTCTCTAGGCGTCATCAAAATGGCTTCGTATTACGGTGTGACTCATGGGAAATTTAAACGTTATAGTAAGGCGAATTGACATGTTCAATAGAACGATAACCGTAGTTAACAGAATTCATTTGGATACTCCTTGAACGGTAAGGTGGTTTCAAGACGAGTGTGTGCAATTCTGCCATAGTTTATGAAGCCCATCAACCATGGTCTTACGAATGAAGTCATAGGACGATATCGGAATAAAGGAAGCACGTATGAAAAATCAAACTGCTTTGACACCGCGATTTATTGATTGAAAGGCTTAACCTCATCAGAAACACCATTGACAACAATTGGTAACCAGGTCAGATGCAATTATCACCAGAACACGGTTGTATTAAAAGAGTCGAAAGTATAATAAAATGAATAGTGCAGTAACTATTCTAATTTGTAGAACTCGAGCGCTGCTGCCACTATATAGCTCAGGGAAGAGCGAGTAACAAAGTGTAGAACGAGCATGAGCAAACCACCAACAAGAGGACCGTTCCTTTACAACCCCAACCGTTTGTGTGGAGTAGGGAGGACTTACAACAGTATGTTTCACCCACTCTTATCTGTTGGTTAGCGACATTACGGTCAAGTCGAAAAAGGTTGGGTTAACACATATATGGCGACGCAGCGCACTGATAGGTGTTCCTGTAGCCAGACTTCATCGCGCAGCCGTATAGA